TCCCCAAAGTTACATGCATATTTTATAATATTTACTCTATGGTACCTTACATTTTTGTTTCAGCAGTATCTTTTAAGTTTACTTATTTATTTCATAAAGGCATTGGGAAAGAAAGAGAGGGAAGAGGAAAAAAAGGCACTCTTGTTAGGGTCTCAACCACACTGCAATCCTCTTCCCAGGCTCCTAGCCAGTCAGGATCATGGGTTCACATGGGTACACCTGATGTGTTCAGGTCAGCCTGGCATCTGAATTCAGGCCTCCCATGTGGCTCCAGTTCCATACAGCAGTGCTTTATCAACTGAGTCACCATGGCTAGGCAGACAGTACCTTTTTTTAAAGAGGTTTTTGCTATAGGGCACGTGCACTCGCCAGAAAGACAGAGAGACAGACAGACAGAAAGCGAGAGATCACATCCCACGGGGGATGGCCGTGCCACAATCCCTTCTCCTCCATTCTCTTCTCGGGATCTTGGGCATACACGCACATGCGCCCAGCATGAGTTTAAGCCACCAGGTCCGGGACTCGAACTGCAGTCAACTACATGGGCGCTCAGTGACACAGCCATTACGCTAACTGCTGGTCCCAACAGCACCTTTTTTTAAACTTTTTTTTTAAGTTTATTTATTTAATTTCCTCTATGAAACAGAAAAGAGAGGGGTACAGAGACAGTGACAGCAACAGTACCCTAACAGGACCCCTGATGCTATAATTCATCTCCAGCCTAAGCCAGTCCTGTATCATGGGCACACACATGCCTGGTGTACTCAGGAAGGTCCCCGGGCACAAATCCACAACCCTCCTATGCAGGTCGGCTTCACAGAGCATCATATTTTACCAATGCCCCACCTTCCAGTTCCCAGTATCTTTTCTAATATTACATTTTATCTTTGTTGATGCACTTGCATATGAATCATATATCCACCAACCCTGGCAAACTTTTATTAATTCCAAAGATTTTCTGTACAGTCTTAAATTTTCTATATAGACCTTTGCAAACAATAGCTTTATTTCTTCCTTTACACTATGGCTTATTTCCTTTTCTTATCGTAATAGTACTGACTAGCATTTTTAGTATGTTTCAAAAGTGGTAAAGGAAGACATTTGATCTTGATCATGACTTTAAAGAGAATGCTTCTAAAGCTTCTTCAATAAGTAAGATCTTTGGTGAAATTTCTTGACAACTATCCTTCAATGGATTAAGGTAGTTCCCTCCTACTCCTGGCTTACTTTGTATCAAAGAGAAGTAAGTTTGGGGGCCAATAAGTGGCATATTGGTTAAAGTACTGGATTCCCACATGACCAACCATGGTTCAAGTCCTGGACCTGAAGGCTTGAAAATCATGCCGGTGCATGTTCAGGCATGCCCAAAATCCCAGGAGAAGAACAGATAAGAAGGGACTGATTGCAGCATGGCTATCCCCACTGGGGGGTGATTTCTTACTTTCTCTCTGTCTCTCTCCAGTGGGCACATGCCTTATGGCACAAACATTGAGGAAAAAAAAAAAAAAGGAACCAGCAGGTGGTATGGTGGTTAAGGCACTGGGATCCTGCATGGCTGACCATGGTTTGATTCCCAGACCTGGCAGGTTGCTTTCTCACTCTCTCCCCAATCCTGCCATCACTCTCTCTGGTGAGCACATGTGCCCTATGAAAAATTTAAATAACAATAATAAATATGGGGCCAACAGTTGGTGTGGCAGGTTAAGGCACTGGTCTCCCACATAGCCAACTGCAGTTCAAGTCCCAGACTGGTGGCTTGCTTTCTCTCTCTCTTTCTTTCTCTGGCCAAATCAAAGAATAATAACAATAAATACAATTAAATAAACAATTCTTTAAAATTGATAATTTTTAAAATAATTATTTTCTTTAACATTATTTATTATTTTTTGAGAGGTTTTTTGTTTTGTTTTGTTTTTTGTTTTTGCTATAGGATGCGTGCACTCACCAGAAAGACAGAGACAAAGAGACAGAAAGTGAGAAATCACCCCCCAGGGGCATGGCCACGCTGCAATCCCTTCTCCTCTCGGGATCTTGAGCATGCATGCACATGTGCCCGGCGTGAGTTTAAGCCACCAGGTCCGGGACTCGAACCGTGGTTGAGTACATGGGAGTTCAGCAACATAGCCATTATGTCAACAGCTGGTCTCCAACATTATTTATTTATTTTAATTTGCCCAGAGATGGACAGAGTGAGTGAGTGAGTGAGTGAGAGAGAGTGAAAGAGAGAGAGAAAAAATGAGAAAGCAAGTCACCAGGTGCAGGACTTGAACCATGGCTGGCCATGTGGGAGTTCAGCATCCTAACTGCCATGCCACCTGCTAGCCCTAATAATAATAAATAATAATAAAAATGGAAAGCAATAAGTTTTTGGGCCAGCCTCACAGGGCAGTGACCAGGTACTAGGTAGAGGAAAATCCATGACCAGGGTTTGAGTCTTGGCAGCCAATGGCTTGGAAAAAAACAAAAACCACATTGGGTATGTGCATGTGTGCCCAGGATCCTGACGAGATGAAGAAGTGGAAGAAAAAGGGTTGCAGTATGACCTCTTCCTGTAGGAGGTGCAAAATCTCTTTCTCTTGTATACCTTTTGGCATTTAAAAAAAAAAAGTGGGGACCAGCAGGTGGCATGGTGGTTAAGGCACTAGACACTCCCACATGACTGATCAGTTTGAGTCCCGGACCTGGTGGCTTGTGTTCTCACATCCCCTCTTTCTCTCTCTTTCTCTGTGTTTTTCTCTGTCAAATTAAAAGTAAATGAATGAATAAATAAAATTTAATAAATAATATTTTTGTTTGGAGAGGTATTTCACTATAGGGCACGTGTGCTTGCCAGACAGACAGAGAGAGACATAGAGACAGAAAGCGAGAAATCACCCCCCAGAGGGGATGGCCATGCTGCAATCCCCTCTCCTCCATTCTCCTCTTGGGATCTTGGGCACACACGCACACGCGCCTGGTGTGAGTTTTAAGCCACCAGGTCCAGGACGCGAACCGTGGTCGACTACGTGGGAGTCCAGCAACATAGCCATTACGCTAACTGCTGGTTCCCAATAATTATTTTTTTAAAGGCAATTTTTTATTTTTAATTTCCCAGAGGGCACATGCACTGACCTGAGAGAGTGAGAGAGAAAGAAAATACCCCCCATAAGGGATGGTCACACCACAATCCCTTCCTTTCCATTTCTCCCAACATTCGAGATTTGGGGCAAGCACATGCATGCACCCTATGTTTATTTTTTATTTTTTTGCCATAGGATGTGTGCACTCACCAGATGGAGAGGGAGGGAGAGAGAGAAAGAGAGAGAGAGAGAAGAAAAGTGAGAAATCACCACTCCCATGGGGAATGGCTATGGTAATCCCTCTTTCTCCATTCTCTTCTCGAGATTTTGGGGATGCATGCACATGCACTCAGTTTATCAGGCCACTGGTTCCAGGACTCAAATCTGCAGAGTTGGCTATGTGGAATCCTGCTACCTTAACCACCATGCCACCCAGCAATCAATTTTTTATCAATTGCATTTCTGCTACATAGTGAAACCACATTCATAGATTTTCTAACACCAAACCACCCTTGCAGTCCTGAGAAAAGCCATACCATTTATTTTTGAAGGCACCACTCAAACACCTTTTTCTAGAAGACTTCAGCTCCGATGTAGGGACAAGAAATCTCATATCCTATGTGTTTCTTTGAACATTCATAGTCATTTACCTCACAGCCCCATACTATGTCAGGTAGCCACTACAAAATAGGTGCTAGCTAAATATTCATGGAAAATAGACACTATTTCTTTTTGCTACTTTTAATCATCATGTGGATTTAGACTCCAGAATGGAACATTTCCAGGAAAATAAAATTAAAAATGAATACTATTAACAAAAATGGTTTTAAGTTTTACACTATAATCCACTCACTTCAAGTAACAGTTAACCAAAAAGAGGAAGCTTAATGCCTTTAGATCTTTACAATGAATTGAATCTGTGAATCTATGTACTTACAGAGCATACGTTTTATGAATATGATGAAGAAAAAAATGTTTTTTAATTTGCCAGGGGCCATGTGCACTTGCTGGAGAGAGTGAAAGTGAGATAGCATACATGCCATACAGTTCATTCTACTCCATTTCTCACTTTTCTTAGGATTTTGGACATGCATGCACATGTACCTGGTGTTTCTAAAAGTTGCCTGGTTTGGGATTCAAACCACAGAGTCAGCCATGTGGGATCCAGCTGCCTTAACCACCACACCAGGGGCTGGCTCAATTAAGAAAATTATTTAAATGTTTTAGTCGCTGATGCATTACTGTCTTTTTAAGAGTCACAGAAATAAATCCTCAACATACTTCATGCTAGTGGGTTTTATAAGGTTTTTGTTTGTTGTGTGTGTTTTTGTTTATCTGTTTGTTTTTGCTAGAGTGCTCACCAGAGAAAAAGAAAACATCTCAAATAGGAAATGGTCATTCTGCAGTCCCCACTCCATTTCTCCAACCTGTCAGGATTTGGGTCATGCACACACACATGCCCAGAATGTATACACATATGCCAGAATGCTTCTCAAGCAACTGGGTCTAGGATTCACACCATGTAGTTGGCCACATGGAATCCAGCTGCCCTAACCACTAGGTCACAGGGCCAGCCCTGTTTTATAAATGAGCATGATTCTATCTGGAATCTTCAAAACAGCCTGAGAAAATGCTAGCCAGTGCTAGATGTTAAGGATAAGCTCAAGCTTTTAGCAAAAGACAGCCCAATGAAACCCATTTATCCCTATTCCTATTGTCTACTTATCCTCACTAGGAGGAACATTTCACTGACCTAGAGTGCACAGGCTAGTATTTTTGCCCTCAAGGGTCAAAATGTCTGATCCTTAACAATATTAGATTAAAAATCTATTCAAGGTTCATAGAGTCTGCAGAAACAGAGGATTCTGTGCTAAAGAACATTCTAATTCAAAAGCTCACTAGCACAAAACATGACTACTTAGAACCCATGAGAGCACTGACCTCATCCCTGTGCTTTTGACAGAAGACCAAAAACTGGGATGCTGCATCTCCCTTTCTGCTTCGTGGAGTGGAAGCTGTGGCCTTCTTCCTCCCAGAAAGAGACCCTACTCCTTTTCTGGTATCAACCTCTGCTGTCTTGTGAGGAATACCCTTCACTGTGCCAGGGTCACTCTCCTGGTACTCAGCAAAGCTAGACAGTTTGGCTCTCCGTCTTCTCTTCATGGGAATGCCATCTTCTCTGACAGACTTGAGATTTTCAGCAGCTTCTTCACTGACTCCTAAGGATTCTGTCATTTCTCCGGAGGGCTCCACAGCAAGACCTGCCTCCTGAGCTACATGAGGGTTGAGATGAAGCTGGTCCCCCATATAGATAAAGGTGAACTTGGCTTTCCGCTCCTCCACTGACATGCTTGCAGCTTCTTCTGCTTGAATGATGCCCATTTCCCACTGGGCCCTCAATTTCCCTGAAATAGGTTTCAACAGCTGAAAAAAAATATATAAAAGTTTTAACTTTCATTACACAAACATAAAAGTTAACTCATTTTAAAGGATACTTTTATATTTCTGATAAATTTAGAAATCAAAACTATAAAAGCCAATTAAATTACAAGGTTTTTGAATTTATCCCAACATATTAACTCTACTAATTTTTAAACAGAAAATCAAGGGGCTGGCGGCTGACAGGTGACATGGTGTTAAGGGTGCTGGACTCCCACATGGCCGACCATGGTTTGAGTCCCAGACCTAGTGGCTTCCTTTCTCTCTTTCTCAAGCTCTCTCTCTGTCTCTCAAATTAAATAATAATAATAATAATAATTTTAAAAGTTAAATAAAAATAATAATTTTTAAAAATCAAGAGACTGGTCCATTATCCAAAGGTTAAGGTGAGTCAGATCCTATATCTGACCATGGTTTGAAACCCAGCCCTGGGAGTTTTAAAAACACACCAGACACATGTGCGCACATGCCCAAAATTCCAACAGGACGGAGAAATGGAGCAGAAATTATTACAGCATAACCATGTCCCACTGGGGGACACTTTCTCCCTCTCCATCTCTGTTCTCTCTCTGGTAAGTGCATGTACCCTCTAACAAATAAAGATAATAAAAAATAAATTAAATAATGAAATCAATTGTAATCACATTAACTGATGCAATCTATATAAAAGGCCTTCCAAAAGTTCATAGAAAATATGTATTATGGAAAATACTATGCGTGGATTTAAAAACATTTTTCAACTAAAATAAATTCCTAACTTTCAATACTCTATAAACTTTTAAAAGTTTCCATAAATATATATATATATATACATATATACATGTATATATATACACATACACACACACACATCTCCATATATATGTGTATGTCTCCATTTATGTATGTCTCCATATATACATGTAAAGGAAAACAGAAATCATAAAAAGTTATTTCTGGAGACCAGCAAATGGTGTAGCAGATATGTCACTCAACTCCCACATAGCCAACTGAGGTTCAAGTCCCAGAGCTGGTTGGCTTCAAAATCACACCAGGCGAGTGTGCATACATGCCTAAGAGAATGCAGGAGAAGGGATTGTGGCATAGCCATACCCCCCCAGGGGGGTATTTCTCACTTTCCCTCTCACTGTCTGTCTCTCTCCCTGGCAAACATATGTGCCCTAAGGCAAAAAAAAATTTTTTTTTAATTGTGTGTGTGTATACACACACACACACATACACACACACATATATATATAATTTCTGAGAGTCACCAAATGACTAAAAAAGAAAAATAAGTCATATCTTAAAGAAACATCATATTTGGGGTCAGAAGGTGATGCTAGTGGTTAAGGCACTGGACTCCTACATGGCTGACTGCTGTTCAAGTCCCAGATCTGTTGACTAATTGTGTGTGTGTGTACACACACACACACATACACACACACATATATATATAATTTCTGAGAGTCACCAAATGACTAAAAAAGAAAAATAAGTCATATCTTAAAGAAACATCATATTTGGGGTCAGAAGGTGATGCTAGTGGTTAAGGCACTGGACTCCTACATGGCTGACTGCTGTTCAAGTCCCAGATCTGTTGACTTGAACCTCATGCCAGGCACGTGTGCATGTGTGCCCAAGATCTCAAAGAGGAGAGGGATTGTGGCATGGCCATCCCCCCTGGCCATTGCTCAAAAGAGACTTTTTGTCTCTCTCCATTTTTCCAATGACCACATGCGCCATATAGCAAAAGTCTCTCTCTTAAAAAAAGAAAAAGAAACATCATATTTATAGCACAATGCACTTGGGTAAGAGTAAACAATGGTAGACATAAGAACAAGATAAATAATAGCTCAAGGAATAAATATTAAATTTTTGGTTTAAATGTATACTGAAGGACCATTTATCACCTTAATTTTCTCAGCTTTCGTAGGTGCCTGCTTGGCACTCTCCTGGCATAATTTTTCAAACTGTCCTTCTCCTTCAAAAGCTACAAGGCTCTTCTCAAATATCCAAGCTCTTTCTGGGGCATCACCAAAGAACTGTACATGATACTGGCGTGCGCTCTTTTTCTGACCTAGTTTTTAAAATAAAACGTTACAATATAAAAGTTAGAATTTGAAACAAAATTAGGCAAATCTATTACTACTTTGCAGCTGTTTTTTACTTGGTGCTGTCTGAGCCTGTTAAAATGAACAATAAGATGAACGCTACCCTTCTTATCCTCACCATGCTTCATGTGAAAGAAGGAAACTCATTTGCAAGAAGCACAAATTTCAAAATTGAGGAGAAAGGAAGCCAGCTAAATACTTTTATTTCCCTTCTCTCAAAATTATCTTAAAAAGATACCAAATAAATAAGAAAGGACCTACATCAGCAAGAGAGACACCTAAAGAGGCAGAGAACTAGAGTGGCACTGAAAAGGGCAGCAGACTGGTATCAGAAGGCCAAAATCTAACCCTACAACCTACTAACTGGCAGCTTCCCCTCACAGAGCCCAGGGGATAAGACTACCAACAGCCTATAAGGAACTGTTTTTTAAGTTTACTTTATTTTTCTCCCATGAAAGCAGCTGAAAAGTCAGCTCTCTGTGCCAAGAAAGGGTATGGAATAGGATCTCCACTGGTGGTATCATCAGTGTTTGTCCTTACATGCAGCAACACTGACCACAGGAACTTAAAAGGTACTTCCTAGAGAATGAAGAATCCTAGGAAAAACTCCATGGAGTATTTTGAAAATTCCCCCAACTAAGCAGCCAATGGCTTGTCAGACCCTCTAGACCTCCCCACAGACTGCAGACAGCTCTGAGTGCTAAGCTTTTTTAACACAGGCCCAGCACCAAAAACCCCCCAGTCTCAGGGAAGCTTTCAGCACAAATGTGTTCAAAATACAAAAGAGTGAACAGCCTCTGCCGGGTCAAAGATAAGAGCAAGAAGGAGACACCAACAGAGAAAAATCTTAGTTTGCTATGAAAACTAAAACACGAGAAAACAGTTATTAGAAATTTTAATATACAGGGTACCAGCAGGTGGCATGGTGGTTAAGGCGCTGGACACTCCCACATGGCCAACCACGGTTCAAGTCCCGGACCTAGTGGCTTACCCTCCCTCCCTCCCTCCCTCTCTGTGTGTGTGTGTGTGTGTGTTTCTCTCTGGTCAAATAAAAAAAAATGTGAATGAATAAATTAAAAATTAAATAATTATTTTTTTTTTAAAATTTTAATATACAATTATGAAGGCCGGCAGGGAATTTTAATATACAATTATGAAATTAAAATTAAACAAGAAAAATTGAGGGATCAGCCGTTAGCGTAATGGCTATGTCGCTGGACTCCCATGTAGTCAACCACAGTTCAAGTCCTAGACCCAGTGGCTTAAACTCACGCCAGGAGCATGTGCGTGCATGCCCAAGATCCCGAGAGGAAAAGGGAAGAGAAGGGATTGCAGCGTGGCCATCCCCCCTGGGGGGTGATGTCTCACTTTCTGTCTCTCTTTCTGGCTAGTGCACGTGCCCTATAGTAAAAACCTCTTTAAAAAAAAAAAAAAAAAAAGAAATCTCCCTGGTTCATCTATCTACTATTTGAACTGAACCCTAACCTTTTTCCTGGCTTTAAGTTTGTTTTTTTTTTTCTCTAAAGAATTATTTTATTTAACTTTATTTATTTATTTTAATTTGACCAGAGAGGGAGAAAGTGAGAGGCCAATTGGTTGGCCATGTGGGAGTCTGGCACCTTTAACCACCACACCACTTGCCAGCCCCTGGCTTTAAGTTCTAAGCAAATTTCTATTAACTTTTTTTTATTTTGATTTATTAAAACTAAAACTTTTTTAAATAAAAAATGCATTAAAAATCCCTACTAATACCTATTTAATGACTGCGGTAAGCTATATAGCCCCAGCAAAGTGCTACTTTATAGTATGCTTTGAAGTATTTACTGACTGAGGTTTATGCCTAAAGTCAGACATGAGCTCATAAATATGTATATATCAGCTATGTTTGCAATGGAAAGTCTTTAAATTAATTAAGATCTTTAACGAATCAATAAAATGTGGGGGGAAAAGGCATGGAAAACAATTGGATGTACCAGAAACAGTGTGGGAGAAGGGGGGAATTGGCAGAAGGTGAGAAGAAGGGAATCAAGGAGGGGACAGGAGCAAATTATATAAGAAATAATAAATAGAAAGTTATTTGTTAATGATAATTATATGGTTATATCCTTTTTTTAATGTGTCATGACTTTCTTTTTTAAAAATAATCATTTATTAAATTTTATTTATTCATTTATTTATTTTTAATTTGACAGAGAGAGAGAGAGAGGAAGTGAGATAGCAAGCCACCAGGTCTGGGACTCAAACCATGGTCAGCCATGTGGGAGTGTCCAGCGCCTTAACCACCATGCCATCTGCTGGTCCCCTATGGTTATATCCATATATTGACTGAGCCAATATATAATGTATACTGGATGGAAATCTCATTTTGTACACTGTATTGATGTACAGTGAATGACTGTACGTAAATAAATAAATAAAATTTAAAAAAGGAAATCTACCTGGGACAAGCAGATGGCATAATGGTTACATTGCTGGACTCCCACAGTCAACTGCAGTTCAAGTCCTGGACCTGGCAATTTAAACCTCACACCAGGCACATGTACGTGCATACCCAAAATCCCAAGAGTAGAATGGAGAAGGGTCTGCAGTGTGGCCATTCCACCCCCCACCGCCAGGGGGTGATTGCTCATTTTCTGTCTCTCTGTTCCTGTCTCTCAGGTGAGCACATGCAACCTATAGTGAAAAAATCTCTCAATTAAAAAAGAAAATAAAAGGAAAGAAAAGGAAAGGAAAGTCCCAGAAAGGGCCAGCCAGTGGTGTGGTAGTTAAGGTGGCTAGATCTCACATGGCTCACTGTGGAGTTTGAGTACCCAAAATCCAGAGAATGGAGAACGGACTGCAGCATGGTCATCCCCCCCTGCAGTCGCTTTTTCACTTTCTCTCTCTGTCTCTCTCCAGCACATATGCACCCTATAGCAAAAAAAAAAAAAAAAAGATTAAGATGAAAAATATCTATTCACATAAGAAACCTATAGGATCAATACAGGAGGTCTGATACCAAAATAGCAGGCTTTCTGGAGAGAGTAACAGAGAAACAAAAGAATTAACACAAAAATATATCTCAAAACTAAAAAGTGCCCTAACTGCCTCACTCAACACCCACAGCTAGGCACATATGTGTAAAATTCGAGCTTTTGTGGGTAGGAGAGAGATTAGCATTTGTGTTTATAAAACAATAGAAGAATGTCAAGGTTCTTCAAAAATGGCCCAAAACTCTGGATGCTAGAAGAAAATGGAATAATACCTTCAAAATTCTAAGGACTTAGGGCTAGGAGATGGTGTAGTGGTTATGTTGCTGGACTGCCACATGGCCAACCACGATTTGAGTCCCAGACCTGGAGGCTTGAATATCACACCAGGCACATGTATATATGCGTGTGCCCAAGATCCCGGGAGACGAATGGAAAAGGAATTGAGACATGGCCAACCCCGCTGAGGAGTGATTTCTCACTTTGCCTGTCACAGTCTCTGTTGCTCTCTGGTGAGTACATGAGTCCTAAGGCAAAAATCTCACAAAAGGGACCAGCAGTAAGCTGTGTCGCTGGACTCCTATATAGTCAACTGTGTTTAGAGTCCCGGACCTGGTGGCTTAAACTCAAGCTGGGCAAGTGTGGCGTGTATGCCCAAGATCCCAAGAGAAGAATGGAAGAGAAGGAATTGCAGCATGGCCATCCTCCCGGGGGGGTGGGGGTGGTTCTCGCTTTCTGTCTCTCTGTCTCTCTCTGTCTTTCTGGCAAATGCATGCGCCCTATACAAAAACCCCTCCAGGAAAAAAAAAAAAAAAGAAAAAATCTCACACACAAAAAAGAGAGAGAGGTAGAGAGTCCTACATCTGGAAGCAAAAGGAAAATAACTACCATCATGAAAACACACAAAAATATAAAACTCAATGGGAGACAAGATACCCAAATAAGGAGAAAGAAATCAAACCTTATCACTATGAAAAGTCCCCAAACCACAAAGAAAAACGAAAGGAAAAAAGAAACAAAGGATACATAAAACAATTAACAAAATAAAAGAAGTAAATCCTCACCAATCTGTAATAATTCTAAACGTAAACAGATTAAATTCTCCAGTTAAAAAACACAGACTGGCTGGGTCAGCAGGTAGCATGGAGGTTAAGGTGACTGGATCCACATAGCTGACTATGTGGTTTGAGTCCCAGACCCAGAAACTTGAAAATCACACAGGGCACAAATGCGTGAGTGCCCCAAATCCCAAGAGGTGAATGAAGAAAGGACTATAGAATGGACACACCCCCTCTCAGGATTGTGGGGGTGATTTCTGACTTACCCTCTCTCCTTGTCTCTCTCCAGTAAGCAGACATAACCAATGGCAAAATTATAAGAAGACAAAAAAAAAAAAAAAAAAAGAAAGAAAGAAAAGAGAGAGAGTGGCTAAATGAATTTTTTTTAAAAGAGGGGGAAGTAGATACCAGCAGATGGAATAATGGTTACAATATTGGACGCCCACTTAGTCGACCGCAGCACAAGTCCCAGAACCCGTTGCTTAAACTCATATCAGGTGTGTGTACATGAGTGCCTAAAATCCCAAGAGGAGAATAGAGAACAAGGGGCTGCAACATGGCTATTCCCCCAGGGGGTGATTTCTCACTTTATGTTTCTCTGTCTCTGTCTCTCCAGCAAGTACATGTGTCCTATAGCAAAAAAAAAAAAAAAAAAAATCTCTTTAAAAAAAAGGAGGGGGTGGCGCTAAGAGACACCAGACACGATGGTTAAGGTACTGGATTTCCACATGCCTGATCTCAATTCAAGTCCAGGATATGGTGGCTTGAAAATCACACGGGTGCCCGAAATCCCAAGAGAAGGGATTGTGGTGTGGGCATCCTCCCAAGGGTAGAGCAATGGTTTCTCACTTTCCTTCTCTCTGTTTCTTTCCAGAGAACATATGCACCATAAGGCCAAAACTAAAAAAAATTAAAAATTAAAAAAAAAAAATTAAAATA